TTGTGTCATATGGATTACTGTTAATTTATTATGCTGATCTGTTCTGTACGACATCTATTGCACGTCTGTCCGTCCTGGAAGAGGGATCCCTCCTCAGTTGCTCTTCCTGAGGTTTCTACCGTTTTTTTTTCCCCGTTAAAGGGTTTTTTTTTGGGGAGTTTTTCCTTATCCGCTGTGAGGGTCTTAAGGACAGAGGGATGTCGTATGCTGTAAAGCCCTGTGAGGCAAATTGTGATTTGTGATATTGGGCTTTATAAATAAAATTGAATTGAATTGAATTGAATTTATTCAGTGGTTTTACTTGTTTAAATTACAGGGTCCGTTTGTTTTTGAGACAAAGAGACCACTGTGGATAATTCAGCCCCTGCTAAGAACCCACTGAACAATGAACACTGGAGGAATTCTAACCGGGAGAAGTTTCAGCTGGTTGCAATCTGCAGTCCTCACCACTAGATGCCACTAAATCCCCCAAATCTCACACACTAGATCTTTAAAAGTTGATTTTGGTGTCAATACTCGTAAGATATTTCTCATAATGGCCTAGGAGTGTGAAAGTTAAATCAGAAAACAACAAAACAACCCCCTTTAATAGTCGGGACAATATACATCTCCTAAATATTCCCTTCTTTATTTAACTAAATAATCTTAGTAGAGGAATTGGAAAACAACACCACATTTGGATTGAAATCAGCAGCTAAGTTTGTGACTTTTATTTATCACTACATTGGTCAACTTCATTGCAAAATTATGGTGAATGTGTTTAACGTGTTAACAATGTGATTAATATTTTCACGTAACTTGAAAAATAATTTTGCTTGGACCCATCCTATAACTGTCTGTTTAGTTTTTGGCCAGTAGAGGGGGTAATTCACCTGCTGAGAAGCTGAGACCTGAATGACACCCAGCTCTGACACATTCTGACACACAGTCTTAAAATAAACTTTGCTTACTGTAAATACAAAATTATATGTAATATATAGACCGTTCTCTTTAAACATCAAGTGTAATAAATTCTTGTGTTGGCATGTAACTGTTAGCTGGTACACTTCTCCTCCACGCATAATGATTCATGTGGGTTCAATGAGAGGGGAACCATTGGCTCTGGAAACCCTTTTTATACACTAACACACACACAAACAGCCACCCAGTGTTCAGCTCTGTGTTCAGACCTGTAAGTTGGCCATGGTGTGGTACCACCAGAACAGGCGCGAGGTGATAAAATAGGCCACGACCACATCCACACTGTAATGCTCATGTGCCACCAAGATGCACACCACACCCACGGCGCTCAGCAGCCAGCACATCAGATGGTACCACCAAAACGACCGTGGCGAGTCTACAGAGAGAGAAGGGAAGACAAGAGTGTTGGGGAAATTTATTACAACACATTTGTGGTCTGTTCCTCCATGTTTTTACTGCTGAAAAGAGACAGTCTTTAGCATTTCAGTACAAGAACAGCAATTTTCTGCAAACACACAGCAAATATATGGACTTTGCTTTGTTTCTGTTCAACTATATCATGTACCCAGCAATATATCTAGGAATATACATCTCTGCAGTCCATCTTTAAATTATTAAAACAGCAACAGCGGCAACACACATCAGTCATTTTTATTGTATTAGTTCCTAGAAGGCCCAGGTGTAGCCATACAATAAAATACAATGGGCTATATGGGATGAGAATGGAAGCACACAATATAATTCATATATTATTCATGGGTATATCCCATAAATTATTCAAAACAAAGCAAACAAACAAGTGATGCTTGGAGTACTCACACTCCTTGATGAATAGGTAGGTGAGTGTGAGCATCACGGTGTGTCCGCTATAGAGGAAGTCTCCGCACAGGAGGTGGGAGTTTGTAATGGACAGACCTCCGCCTGAAATCAGCCGCAGAATTCGTTGGATTTTTGCTTGGGAGTCTCCGTGGAGCTGATGGAGAACAGGAAATAGAGAGAGAAGCAAACACTGGATCAGCAGCAACATTAGGATTGCAACTAATGATTATAAGCATTGCAGATAACTAAATCACTACACTTTTTTTAATGAATCAGTAATTTAATACACAAAATTACAAACATTTGCTTGTTCTGATTGACCCAACAGTTAAAAAGACTCTAAAGATCCAGTGTGTGAGATTCAATTCAATTCACAAATGTATTCACAAAAACAGATAAAGAAAGAGCACGTGTACAGTTCATAATGGAGATGTGACATGGAACATCCTGATAAGCTATCGAAAGCTTGAGAATAGGGGCCCAGACATGAAGCAATATTTAAAATGTGTTAATGAACACGTTGTCTAGATTTAAGGGGAAAAAAAGGTGCATATAATATACAGTAACATTTATAACCTTCAGAAATCCTAAGACTGACCAAAAACCAAGAGACTAAACTAACCTAATGCTAACTACTAAATGGTCCCAAGCAGTGGTGCAGTGGTAGTTGATGAGGTGGGTATACTACTAAGTGGACAGGCAGGTTAGCATGGAGGAAGTGGGTATACTCTCCTATATATTACAATGGCTTTTTGACTGATAGGTGGGTATATTGTAAATGGCCAGAAAAAGAAGTGGGCATACCTCGTATACCTGCGTATACCCTCCACTACACCACTGGTCCCAAGACATTTATTCCATCAGTCTAAACACGAATAGAAACACATGGCACGTGGAAACCACACTAAAGCTTGTACATTTAAGTTTACGTTTTTTGCCCTTCGTAAGATGCTTTCCTCTAGTCTCATATGTGTGAGAGGAAGCCTCATGGATTAAGGTCACAGCATCTGTTGTTGATCTTAAATTCAACATTACACATTATACAAGCACTAGACGCTACATTCAGTGAACTTTAGAAGAGCTGTAGGGGATCCATGGGGTGATATATTGGCAGAGATGGAATATAATATATTACATGTGTTTTCTGTAGTGTATGTATAATCACCTGAAAATAAGACCCGTGGTGGTTTTGTTACCTTAGATTGACATGTTTATATCTACATAGGGAGCGGGTTCTCATCCAAAAAGTCCGCCATGTTGCACCGCCATGTTTCTACAATAGGCCAGAATGGATAAACCAAACACTGGCTGTAGACTGAGCCATTTGCATTTTTGTGTCGGCCTACGTAGCTAACAGCCCCTCTGCCCCAAGCAGCATCATATAAATGATGTCACGTCACTGATTTGTGACTTGAAAGTGCTTTATTCTGTGTTTCTACCAGTTTAAATCACTGGGTCCATTTATTTTGCAGAGAAAGAGACATCTGCAGATAATTACGCTCCCAGTAAAAACCGAACAATGGACACTGAAGGAATTCTATCGTGGAGAAGTTTCAACTGGTTGCAGTCTAAATGTCCCTAAATCTTACACACCCATCCTTTCAAATTACAGTGATCATTGATTATCAAAACTGTTGTCATTTAGGTGATGCTTGTATAAGAGCATTTAACCATATTGGTACAACACCAAAAACTGCAAGTACATCAACTTGATCACACTGGTTACCTGGCAACTGTGACGACTACAGGAAATCACTGCACCCAGACAAGGAATTACTGGCAAGAAAATGCCTTAAAACTGCACTGGGACAGAACCAGGCTAGCTGTTTCCTCCTGTTTCTAGTCTTTATGCCATGCCAAGCTAGGCTAAGCTAAGCCTCATATTTACCATACAGACATGACACTCTCGGCAAGAAATAATTAAGTGTATTTCTCAACTTGTCTGTTGATCTTTTCAACACTAGGCATCAGAACAGGAATTAGTATTTGACAGGGAAGAGAAACATGCAAACAAAATGAAGAGGAAGTGAAGGAAGTGAAGCAAACATAGTTTAACAGTATCATTAACTAGTTTTGATCAAATTTTATGCTCAAATTACTGATAGCTCACTTCCCACTAGCTGCAGGCTTTTATACACTGTCTGAAGCATTTCAAATATCTGAGAACAAACCAACTCCTAAACTATCCAACCTCTGATCTTATCGCTCAACACAACCCATCTGACAACAACCCGGAGCACATGTTTCTGATCAAACACTGATGCACCTCAATATTGTCGGTGTCCTGAGGCGGTAAAAAGTCAAAATGGCTTTTTTTATAGCTGCCTCTCTTATGTGGCTGCGCAAAATGAGTCCCAGAGGGTGCACAAAGAGTACACGGTTGAGCGGCGACAGCTGATGCCTGCTCTGATGTTTGCATGCTACTCACCTTAGGAGCACAAGTCATATGCATGCCAGGCACAGGCAGGGTGGTGATGTACATAGTGACACAGCGGTACAAGTACAGGGTGCCAATGAGGAAGAAGAACCGCCTGCTGGCTATTGACCTGCAAACAGACAATGTGAGAGAACAGTGGAGTGAGTGCAGAAACGTTGTGTGATTTTTCTTTTTGCAAACATGTTAAAGGCACACAATTCTGGAGATTGTATTGCACAGTATGATTAGCCAACATGCTGTCAATGCCAAGGGCTCCTGCTCAGCCAGTCAAATTGAGTTTTATTAACCAGCACACATATTGACAATAATAGTACGGTAATTGTTTTTGTTTCCATATCTTCGTAGGCAAATGGCCAAGTGTAAAAGACTTGATGTAAGATTAACTGAATTAAACATTTTCAGCAGTCTGTAAAACTTCATTTGTGCAGGTCTGGGTTTGGTGTCACTTCTATAGAGCAAAGACTGCTTTCTAAACTATTCATTTTTTAGGGATTCATTTTATCACACCCTGTAGAAAAGGCCAACACAATTTCATCACTGATGGCAGCCTCAACAGACTCTAACGTAATGCATTTCCTGAGTAACAAGAAGAGGCATACAGAGCAGAGATATGTTACAACACCTAACCACAAAACAGTTAACTATTTCATTGAGCAAATGCAACACTCGAGCCTGTTGTATACAATATGATATCCCTTATTAATCAATCGACACAAGGCAATTTACACAAGGCCATTGAAATGTATCTCTTCCCATATTCCTCCTTTTACAGACACCACACGCACCCAGAGTGGTGCTCAATGGTACCTAAGCAGTGCCTCTCCAGCTGCCAGTTCACACTCCATACTCGGTCCGTATGAGGGACTTGAACCAACGACCCCACGGACTGAGCTACTGCTGCCCCTTAAACCTATGTACACCTTTATATAACCAATCTGTGGCTATATAACCTTTCCTGCAGTACAATGACATTTTACTCTTTGAATTTTCACTTGAATTTATTCAAAGACAGTCTTAAAATAAAGGTGCACCTGTTGTAATTCTGTATTTTTCTTATTCTCAACAAATCTTGTAAAAAGATCAAAACCAATCACGTGTTTTTAATAGTTTTTTCCGAAGTACAATAATGGCACCCATGGCAAGAAGGGAAAAAAAGCTATATCAGGCTTTTGACACAGAGATAATATTTATTTAGGATCTGTTCACTGTTTGAGTTGGCCTTTGGTATTACTGGATTTATTGACAATAAGAACCAGAATTACCACCTTGAAGTTGTATGCCTCCGCTTCACATCCATGTTTGTTCAGACTTATATGTAGCTGTGACAGCTGACGAGGCTTCAAATATGGATGTTGCTGCAAAGAAGCTACAAATTCTAAAATTTGGATGCTTCTCACACATATTCAACCTGGCAGCACTGGAGACCTATCAGCACAGTTTCAAGGTAGAAACCCAAGATTAGTGTCACCAACTACTGTGTCTGAGTTATGGCACTGAATAATGGCCAAAAAAGTCATGTCGCAGTGAGATGACCTTGGACCTTTTGAGATATGGCCTAAAAAGTTTTACGTGGTCACACTGACCTTGACCTTTGACCACCAAAATTGAATCAACTCATAGTTGAGTCAAAGAGGACGTTTGTGCCAAATTTTAAGGAATTTCCTCAAGGTGTTTCTGAGATCTCTAGTTCATGAGAATGGGACTGACGCAAGGTCATGTGACCTCTACCTTTGACCACCAAAATTGAATAAACTCATAGTTGAGTCAAAGAGGACGTCTATGCCAAATTTTAAGGGATTTCCTGTGGTGTTTCTGAAATATCTAGTTCATGAGAATGGGACTGACGCAAGGTTATGGTGACCTTGACCTTTGACCACCAAAATTGAATCAACTCATAGTTGAGTCAAAGAGGACGTCTATGCCAAATTTTAAGGGATTTCCTGTGGTGTTTCTGAAATATCTAGTTCATGAGAATGGGATTGACGCGAGGTCATGGTGACCTTGACCTTTGACCACCAAAATCGAATCGGTTCATCCGTTAGTCCAAGTAGAGGTTTATGCCAAATTTGAGGTAATGCCCTCAAGGCACTCATTCCTGAGATATTGAGAATGAGACAGACGGTTGAACAGATAACCCAAAAACATAATGCCTCCATCCATCGCCAGCATGGAGGCATAAAAATATAGAGTATTAACAGATTTATTCCTAAAGCTGAAAGAAAACATCTTGCACAATAAATAGTACCAAAAGTTCTTACCTGTATCTGAAGAAGAATAACTGGATCATCCAAATAGCCAACAGCACCATGCCATTGATCTCTGTCACTGTAAATGCCCATTTGACCCTGTCAATATAGTCAAAAAACTTATCAGGAAGAGGCGGGCTGCTTTCTTTGGGTGGGACCCTCTCGTGGACTATAGTGATGACGACTGTTGTCAAGACCAAGTTAAAGCCAGCATAAAAGAAGACCACTGCTGTCTTCCACCACTCCATGGGCAGACGGTTGATCTTGGACTCTGGCACAGAAATCTTCACGTAGTCATTATGCCTGCTTATGCCTTTCCGGAAGCCCCGCTTTGTATCCTCTCCACCAGGTTTGTGGACAGGACAGATTTTACCATTGCTGGGTGCAGCACCACCCTCCATTCCTGGGTTTAGATTATCATTGGCAGAGTCTCTCGCATCCACAAGCTCCTGTGACGCCATGGGTGCCTGCACTGTCCATCCACAGGCACCGCTCCTCTAGGTTGAGGCTTTTTAGCTGCCATGAGAGAAAAGACATGGTTGGGAACGGACAAACTTTACATTTGAAGAGAAAAAGCACAGTATCGTCATTCACATAAGATAGAACAGCACTAAGGTAAACAGATACTCCTTGGTAGGGATGTCAAATCACCATGATGAGAAACAGGGAGGAGATGAACTCTGGTTTACTTTTATTTCTACTCTTTATATCCTAGGGATTAGCAAAGCAAGAGATGAAGCTTTTATTGATGCATAGCTCTTGATTCCATCCACTGAAATGTCCACTTTAGACTGAAAAACTATTTTTGAGTTTATAGCAGCCCGTTATTCTAGATGTGGCTGTATAAGTTAATGCCGTGTGTCACATTTTCCCTCCCCTGGACATTCACCAGAACCACCGTGACAGGGTTCTGTTTGGACATTCAGTCAGACTCTTGTTTTGGGCCTTACAAAGTCTTTCCGCTGCACTGCTTTGGTTTTCTGATCTTGTCCTCAGCAAGCAGCTGCCATGGTCACATTGGCGGGTTTCATGGTTAAACATCGTCCGTTGCAAAAGAGGAATGCGTATGCTTATTATAAAAGTTTCAAGCTGTATGAATGTAAAAGTAATTAAGCTAAATTAAACTAAACTTGCTGAGACTGAAAGTTCATTTTTGACCTTGGAAACAGTAGTAGGCAAAACCATTTCCCCACCATCATGGTCCATTTAGTAGCTGTTATGGAGCTTTTGATCGTATCATACCATATGTCTTTGCAGAAGGATTTTGCTCAGTTGTCTTGAAAGTTTAAAGACTTTCTGTCCCTGGTCAACACATTCTCACTCTGACCTCGCACATATTGGCGTTTGGTCATGGACTTTCCACGTCCAAGACCAGGCTCCACTGGGGAAGCTCCATCTGATGAAGGACGTGTGATACAACTGAAAGCTCTAGCTACTTAAAGAAGTGTCTCACTGCTGGATAGATGGACTTTTCATAAAAGTAGGCTGCAGAAGACAAACGCAAATACTTTTGAAACTGGTGCTACATGACCAGAGAAACAGAGGAAAGGACTGTGGCATTCGCTTTTGCTCGAGAGGTAGAAAACCTACATACAAACCACCAGTGCAATAAATGCTTATGATGGTGGGTGATGTAATGTGAGGTTGGCCGTATTGACACAGGCGACTATATGACAGCTGGTAACAAACAATTTCAAATGACAGTTAAACAGTAAGCTACAATAATTTTCTGAATACATTTTAGGGGATAAATAAGCAATAGGCTACTGTTACAGAATCTTGTTTTTTTATTTGATCAGCACTGCATAGTTTTACAGTCTGATTGGAGTTTGGTCTGTGTTTGAGAGAGTTTGAGAGAGGGTGACTTTCTCTCGATCTGCTATGATTTGATATGAAAATATGGAAGCACAAGACATGAAACGCGTCATGTGGCAATTTAAGCTGAGAGATGAGCAGAGAGACCCGGGTACTGGTAAAATGGATGGAAATCTACCACAGTTCATTTGCACATACTACCCACATTGTTATGACACAGAGCTGGTTAAAAAAGTATCCCTTTAACAGCCTTTGTATGACATTGTTTGGTTGAACTAAACTAATCTAAGCTAAGCTACGCTAACATAAGAGAAAGTAGAGCAAAATCAAAATAATGGATGGACTTTTTGGGAGGAAAATTTGAAAGATTACTAATGACGCCCATATGACTAACAAAGCTGGAGATGTGCTAGTGCAATGTTTGTTGTTGAGCTCTTTTCAGTTAATGACTTGATAGAGCACTACAGCAATGACCATTTTCATTCTTTCATGTCTAAAAGGCTTCCAGTCCCTTTAACAGCTCCATTAATGGATTTGAGGATTCTGTAATCAGCCCTGAAATACATCACAATAAATGTCATCTGGGATATACACAGAATGGTATGTTTTCTTGGAGGCAAACCTGACAATGAGATAAAAGAGGGGATAGAAATGGAATATGGCTGGATACAAGGGGGCTGCTGAAAGTATCAGTTTCCTCAGAATCAATTTTTGGGAAAATATTATTACAGTGGTGAGTGGCTTATTGTAGAATGCCCTCTGACTAACCCATAGGAGATTCAGCCTCTGTTATGCAACTGATGGACTGATACAGAACACAACATCTGACAGACTTTGAGGGGGTCACAAGGTATATCAGTACTGACCAAGACAGCAAATAAGATCAACAAGAGCAGACAAACAATATAAGCCAATTACAAAGCCATGTCCCTTTCGTTATGAGTGAGATTATGTTGCAGCTCTGTGGTTAGTTATACTGCAAGTTGTGATCCTTTATGCCAGGGACACTCCATTGCTGGTGTAGCAAATTGTTGACATCATCAATGAGAGAAATTGTGAATGTTTCTTTTTGGCTGTGGAATAAAACAAAATTGACATATTTTACTTTTCTAATACTGACCAACTCAGCAACTCGTGAACATGAAGATGTCTGTTCATAAGATAAACATCAGAGAGACAGACAATGGGACATTGTCATCTACAGATGAATCCCGCTATTGCTCCATAGATTCTAATTATTGAAACACTATGACAGCACAGGACATCAGTGCCCAGCATTGAAAGATGTTTGATAATTATCATTTTTACATGATAATTTTGCTCTCTGTACAATGTACGATCAACAATACAAATAAGTGCCATAATGTACAGTATTTTGACAATTATATGACTCTCACTTGTGGTTTCGACTTGGGCATAATAATTTTCATCAAAATACTTTAATTTGAAGCCTTTGGTACCATAGTTCAGCATTTCCCATCTGGCAATACTGTCAGTGTCTGACATTGCTGCTGATGCTGAGAGTGGTCAGAGGTGTGTTTTAGAGAGGGCAGGAAAACACTGCTAGTAAGCCTGGTATTACATTCTTAAAGTTAATTTTAACCAACTAAAACTACTTGGTTGGGGCGTCGGTAGCGTCGTGGATAGCGCCGGCGCCCCATGTACAGAGGCAATGCCTCGCTGGAGTGGTTGCAAGCTCAAGTCCGGCCTGCGACCCTTTGCTGCGTGTCAGTCCCCACTTTCTCTTTGTCTCTCCATTTCAAACACTGTCCTATCCATTAAAGGCAAAAGCCCACAAAATAAAAGTATAAAACTACTTGGATAAGGTTAGGGAAATATTATATGGACAGGCTAAAAAAGCAAACTGCTTGGTTAAGTTGGATGAAACAGCCCCAACTCAAGATCCACTTGCTGGCTAACACAGATAAGAAGACTGTGTGATAAGGCTGAAAGCTCCAGAAAAAGGTATAGTAAGTGGTCTTTGAGTTGGGATGGTTTTGTCAAACTACAATTTCGAAGGTCAAGAATGAGGATCAGGTCATTGAAGGATTTTGGTCATGATTAGCAGAAATTATTTTGACTGTTGATAGAAGCAAACCAGTCTCACTCCGAAGTCGTCAAAATCCGGCGCTTGGGCAGTGACTTGCAGCGTCTGGACGAACTGACGAAGAAAGCCAACTTTCACCCGGGAAAACAATGTTAACGTCTAGTAAGATTATAAAGCCAAACCCTGTTCTTTTTTCATAAACCTAACCATGTGTTTTTGTTGCCTAAACCCAACCAAGTGCGTTACTTGTTGGAGGAAAAAAAAGTTCATTCACATTGTTGTACTGATGTAGTGCGTTTATTTTCAAAGAGACTGTAGCTATGTAAACGTTAAATTTCCTGTGAAAACGGAAGCGTATTTTGAAAGAAGACAATGCATGTAACAGGCAGAACTTGACACAACGTCCCAGAACGTCAAAACCAACGCATGCAGGGTATCTTTCACGTCGTATCTGGACGTGGAAGGTCCATGACCAAACATCCATATGTGATGAGATCAGAGTGTGTTGATAGAAGACACAGCCCAGTCAGCAAAAGTAAATGTTGGCATTGCTCATTTCTGCAAACCATGAATATGTTAGATTTGTACATTTCATACGTACATCAACATTTCTAAAGTGACGTAGTATATGAGCTGACTCTGTCATGGGAAGGCGGATGGGATGGTGGAAGGCATGACACCTAGGCAAGATGCTTGCCGACCACTATTCCACTGTTTGTTTGTCAGTGAGTTGTGTTTCCTGTGAAATTTTAGCCTCCAGACATGGATGTTTTTCCACCAGGGATGGTGCCACAAACAGATTTTTTTTTACCATGACATGACTGCAATTCTAGCAGGGACTGTGCCCCCAAAAACGGGTATTTCAAGCCCAAACGTGATCTTTTCCTAACCATAATCAAGTGTTTTTTTTGTGCCTAAACCTAACCAGCAAAGCTGAAATGTAAAGTTTCATTGTAACTGCTACACAGTAACATGCAAATGTATCATATCCATGGTTTGCATAAAGGTACAATACCAACATTTTTTCCCAGCAACTGAGTTGGGACACAAAATGTAAAGCAGTCTCTGGTGTCAAATTTGGTCACTTTGTACACATTCAACAATTTTTTTACAGAGCTACATGAGGTCACTTGTTAAGAAAACAAACATATTTTTAGGTTGCCCCAAATATTTGAAGAAATGGACAACGCTGTCATTTTTCTAAATATTGACTTTACTGTCCAAAACTGTTGGAGAAGCACACTACTCTGTGTGCTGGGGGTGGATTTTGCCTTAAGAAAACTGTGTTTATGATCTATACTTTCTTGTATTTGTGCATACGTGGTCACGGTCAATACAATGGACATGAGAGGTATTTATTTGCTAGCATTCACTGGGAGACTGTGTGCTGTACATGTACATGGGAGGTCAGCAGAGTGTCTCCATTAGACTAGTTTTCCACTGGTCCCCTCCTCCCCAGTGTACACTACACAGTGTTTTCCCACCAGCCGGAGCACCCAGCACTCTAAAGGGATGGGTGGTGATGGAAAACTGGCAGAAAAACCTATTCCACATGGTCACAGGCCGTAATGGATAACTTGGCCGCCTCTACTTGCTCAGGCTATTTCAAGAGAAGCCACCCAGTTGCCTTGAAGGCTGTATTTTACTCCAGGGGAACCGAGGCTGTGACTCCATTTTGGGACCTTCATAATAACACGCTACTATTGCTGTCCACTCATTTTCTCCTTCACATCATGCGGATTGTCTCCTTCAAAGGGAGGGTAAAAATAAGTCCAAGGTGGCCCAGCCCTGTAGGACCTGCCGACAGTATGGAGAGGACTACATATATGTTCTAAAATTTACTCGCTGTAAATCAAGCCTGGAAACTGTATGATCAGCATGTTTAGGTTTGTCTTCCCACATGTTCAGTTTCAGAAACAGATGTGAAATGTATAGTTCAAAAGTCTCACTGAGGAGGATGTGATTGAAGTATCTGACACATGTTTGTAGGCTGCTGTTTGAGGATCTGTGATACAAAATTGTGATAAAAGAAAAAAGATTATGCCTCTGTGCTTTAAGAAATGACAGGGCAAGTGTGCTAAAGATAGTTATCAGTAGTAGCAGTGTGTAAGAAGATCAGATCCTCTATTATATAATATAATGATACAAAGTAAAAGCCCTGCTTTGAAAATGTTAAAGTAAAATTAGTCTTTATGCATAAAAATTAGCCCTGAGTGTCATATTTTTATGTATTTGGCTGTTGGATTGTCCTTTGCTGTTGTAGCTGGTTTAGTTGAGCTAATTCTACTTTATATTGTAAATCATATGTTTTCTACTCTAAGTACAATGTTTCTCTCCAAATTAGTACAGTAACGTGAAATGGAAGCAAGCCTACAAGTATGTCAAAGTTTAACTTAAAGGGAAACTACGCCCATTTTCAAAATTCATAATGTCATTCCTATGGTCTAAGACAGTCAAAAAATAGTAAACCTAAACAATTCTCTCAAAAATCCAAATGCTAGAGGGCTAAAACTTAAATTTGTGATGTCACAGGGTATAAAGTCCAGAGCTGCTCCATAAACAATGAATTAGGAAAGATACTGAGAGCACTCGAGGGGATGTCCTGAGTACATGGGTACATTTTGTGTTTCAGAACTGAGAGTGCTACGGTATAATAAAGCTCATTTAGGTATAAAAAAAGAAAACAAACATTCTGTGGTTTCACAAAATCAGTCTCCCATTCATTGTCTGTGGAGCAGCTCCAGACTTTATACCATATGCCAAGTTTGTACTTCTCTGGTTTCTGGCTTTGAAAGAGAGGCTCATGTTCACAAATATTGATTCAACTTGCCATGTAAATAACATAATTGGAATCCTGATTTATTCTTAGATGAATAAATGCACTTTCTTTTTATTATTAGTAGTAGGCTAGTAGTAGCAGATGGATATAGTAGAAGTACAATTAGAAGAAGTTTATTTGTAGTAATAGTAGATGTCTACATCACAGTGGCAGAAACATTGTCACAGTTTTAGTTATATTCCCACATGTCATGGTAATAAAGTGAATGACAGAGAGCAACTATCTGAAACCTTTGGTTTTACCACAATGATGTTCGCTACTTGTACACGACTACTGTATGAGATTAGTTCACTGTGCAAAACTGTTCATCAAAACACACAAATGCATATTCTTTGCTGCCAGAACAAATAAATTTTGTTGTTTTTCTGAGGAAGACACCCACTTTTATAGCGTACAAGCCAAAATGGTCACACAGAGCGTGGATCCACTCCTAGTTTTCTGGGTGCCGTAACCACATGTGGGATGGATCCTGGCAGTAATGTCAGGGTCAGGACTGGGTGCCTCCCATGCCTCCCATATATTACAGGGCAGCAGTCTGTCACATGCAAAGCCAGTTTTGAAGTTTACTTTTGGGGTGTAGCACAGTGGCCCCCCACACACAGTGTTAAGCACCATGTTCCATATGAGGCTACTGGGTGGGGCAACAGGTCTTTGCATATCCTGTAATTAAGACCTCTCGTTTTCAGTCAAAGCTGTTGCAGTTGGGAGCTGACAGCTGAATGACTCTAATGAGATTAATGCAGCTGCATCACAAGCATGCACAGTATGTGTGGTGGATACAGCCCACTGTGTAATTCATTGAATAAATAAATGTTTTTAAGCTTATGTGGCAACTTGCTTTATGTCTGTGCGTCACGTGATGCATTACCCTGATAAAATGCTGTGTATCACTGACATCATCACACCGTATACACGTAGTCTCACCACTCATGTCGACTGATCCACCGAATAAAACTTTTTGCATGAATTTAAGCCGACATGAGCCCTGTGCTACAAATAAAAAATCAGACACCGAGTATGTCTATGTGAATTCATATCCACAGTGTTTCTCTATCTGTGAGCAAGACTGATTAAAAAAAGTTAAAATATCAGGAGTACAAAATCCAGTCCAGCTCATAGCCAGCATCCTACTGAAGATCACACATCAATTTATCACATGAAACCCGACACGATAGGATGAAGATCTGTGTTTACATTCACATGTTGCTCAGTTTATAGCATCCTACCTGCCTTGCTCGGGCCTCCTAGCGCCTCTTCCTGTAGTTGCAGTCCCTTGAATCTTCTGATGCTGCGCCCTGCTCGCTGCTTGGTCGCTGCTCTTCAGGCTGGACTGCTACATTACCCGACAGTGCCGCTCGCTTTTGAGGGAGCGCTCCTCCCCGAAGCCCCGCGTCTTCTCACATCCATCCAGCCTCTGTGTACCCGGCCTCCTGCCTCGCACCCCCTTTAATTCAGAGTCACCGTCCTGTAATCAGGCACAAGCATCGCCCTGTAACTCTGTCCGTGGAAAATAGGTGCTCTGCGGGATTCACATCTTAAAGCAGTTAGGTGGAGTCGCACGGTGTTTTATTAATAGAATATCGTGTGCGTTTATTATGCAGGCAAACAATATTCTATTGTGTTTTCTTTTTTACCCTTTTATAAAAAGTGAGCTTAAAATGTAATACAATTAAAACCCATTTAAAACATAGCCATGAGTCATCCCTATTCTTTCAAGTAGCTCACAGATTTCCAGCCATGTCAGTAATAATACAGTTCTCACTTTCAATATATATACTATAATAAAAAATAGAAATAAAAATACTCTATATAAATTCTATAAATTGAAATTTAAAAAATCGATTAAAAAAATATTCTATTCTATTTTATTGTAATTTTACTGTAATAATACAGTTCTCACTTTAAAAACTATTTTAAAAAATATTAAAATAATTAAATTAAATCTCAATAATTTTTTCCTGCTTGTAACGGCGAACCTTTTAATTTGTAAGTACTGGTCTCAGATCAGTTGAGTCATCCAGCGCTGACGCACGATAACGTAGCAAAAACTGACACCAGATCAGATTTGTTTCTCTGCTTCCGCCCACCGACTGAGGAAGTGCGTCACTCTCTCCGGTGACGTGGCTGCTAGGAAGCGCTTCCCGGTTGCAGTGCCAAGCTCCTCCGGGCTGCTCCATTCACTGGAAGTACCTGTGTGTCTTTAACAATCACGACATACCTGAGTTAGCAAAACAAAGAGCGTAACGGTTTGCCGTAGTATTTGCTCTTAAAGAGGAAGCCGGTTGAACTCGCAACCGTTAACTGCCGCCTGCCATGGAGACGTCTGGCAACTCGCACAAGAAACAGAAGCTAGGTAACGCTACCGAGAACTGGGTGAGTTTTTTTCTTTTGCCAAGTTATGTTGACTCAACACATCGATTCATCACGTCTGGCCACCTCCGCTAACCGGCTGCCAATGAGCTAACGGTATAACTGGACAGACAGGTTGCTAGTTAGCTACATACTGCTAATACAGTTAACGTTACAGTTATGCTAGCTGTAACGTTCCATTTATAACCTCGGTTGCTAGCAGCGCCCGAGACTGAAAAGTGGCTAATCTGATAACTGCTAAATACTGTACAGTAAAGGGTAGGGTATGAACTGTGTGTTGAATCTGATTTAAATCTGTGATAACGTTGTCCTTGGTAGGTCCTCCATCACTGTCAGCAAAATACTGTTTGCTTTTGCTACGTAGCCTCGAGCTGCCTGCACAGATTCCTGCTTGCTGATTAAATGTACACTGTAATGCTAACTGAGCTGCAGTATTTACAGTCAAGGACAAAAGAGTTACAGCTATATATTGTGGTCCTCCAACATACATCAAAAAATACTTCCAAACAGACATATAGAGCTGAAACAATTAGTTAATTAAGCAATTAATCAGTCCATAACAGTTTTATTAATTAATCAAAGGTTGAGACATTTTTCAAAGAAGGCCAGCATTCTCAAATGGCAGGATTAGAAGTCATACGTGACGGTAAACTGAATATTTTTGGTTTTGAACTGCTTGTCAGATAAAAACAAGCAATTTGAACACATCACCTTTGGTTGTGATAAGATATGATGTGTATTTTCCACCACTTTCTGAAAGCATAGAGGCATAAAAGTGTATTGAGTAAAGCAAGAGTAACTTTAATCATGTTCAAACCCAAGGAATCAAAAACAGGACAAACACATCTCAAAGGCAGAGGATAAAAATGGGTCTTTAAGTGCATTTTGAAGGCATCAACTGGCTCAGCCTGTCTAACAGCCTCCAACAGGCTATTCCGGAGCTGCTACAGAAAAAGCCCCCCCCCACAAACTTGGCATAGCTAACATGCCATGGTGGGCGGATCTGAGGGGAGTTGTCAACGAAAATAATTAGCAGTAGTTCTACATACGTGTTCCAAGCTTTCATCGTGAGAGCAGAACAGAAACCACATTTTCAAACTGCTTTGAAGATGCTTTCTCGTGCTAAGTCTTTCCAAAGTCCTAATATGTTAATGGTAACTTTGGCTTTTTTATAAACTTGTATGAAACTGGGCGGCAATTGGGCTGAATTAACAGTAACTCTGTTTCGTTTCAGGGAATGCAACGCGCAACTAATGTCACCTATCAAGCTCATCATGTCAGCCGAAACAAGCGTGGGCAGGTTGTGGGCACAAGAGGAGGGTTCAGAGGATGCACCGTTTGGCTGAGTGGTAGGTTGTGTTATTATCAAAATGTCCTCTCTGCATCTGTATATCATCTCTTAGCTGTTTTATAATGCAGTTGTTTCCCTCTGTGCCAAGGTTTGTCCGGTGCAGGGAAGACCACAGTGAGCATGGCTCTGGAGGAGTACCTGGTGTGTCACGGCATCCCCTGCTACACACTGGATGGGGACAACATCCGTCAGGGGCTTAACAAAAACCTCGGCTTCAGCCCAGAGGACCGTGAAGAGAACATTAGACGCATTGCTGAGGTGGCCCGGCTTTTTGCTGATGCTGGTCTGGTCTGCATCGCCAGCTTCATCTCTCCCTACAGCAGGGTGAGTGGCTCTCCAAAGACAGCGTCATAGGTTGAATGAAAAGGAAAGACACGGATGCCCACAGGGATAAATGTGGCTGGAACTCACTGATACTCTATTAAATTTGTCTCTCATTCTGTTATACAATATGTATTGAACCATATTTAAATACTCCCTGTTCTCTAGTTCTTACAGCATTGTAAATTTCACATTTATTTTTGGCTTGCTTACAGATCTCAGGCTAATAATGATGTTATTACTGATCATGTCACTGTCCATCATCATTATCCTGCTGAAATTGATGATGCCAGTTAGATTGGGATAATACAGTTTTGAACAAAGGGTTTTAAATGTTCTTGCCCTGATTTTTAAACATACTAAACTCCCTATTTTGAGTTATTATTTAAAAAATGACTTTACAATGTAAATTTTGAATGAAGAAAATAACCTTATAACCTTATTAATATGAAGGACTGCTGTGTGATTAGCAGCATATTTGTTTTTCCCGTTACTGTCTGTTATTGGAATGAATAATGTCCTTTCTGGCAGCAGAAAACAAATATTTTTGTTAGGTGAAAACCAAACTTGATGTGACCTTAAAGGGATAGTTTGGCTCTTTTGATGTGGGGGTGTATGAGGTACTTATCCATAGTCAGTGTATTGCCTAAAGTGGATGTCAGTCACTGTGCGCCCAGTTTGAAGAAGCAGGCTGGAGTCAGGCACAGAAGCTACTGCTGTGGAGGGATCAGCAACAAAACCTATTTAAGCCACCTAAAAAAATAAGTTTAAGTGTGTGCTATATTCAGAATATTTTCTCAACTTCACCATGCTCTCGGACAGCGATAAACGACTGGGAACTGAAGCCATTATATTGCTCTCTTCCAAGACAGACTCCATTGAGAAAAACAGTGATTTAACCTCCAGAGTCACACAAAAACTAAATAACTGATCAAGGCAATGGTAGAGCAGCAGATCCTTTGCTCAGCGAGCCTAAACTACTGTTTTTGTCAATGGAATCTGGTGACTTTGGCAAGAGCATAGACAGGGAATTAAAACCGACTTTCTTGTTGAAACGGGCTGTCTGACGGAAGGGCAAAGCATTGAAAATACTGTCACTATGTGCACACTTAAACTGCTTAAGATTTTTTTGGTGGCTAAAGTACATTTTAATGCTGCCCCCTATCCATAGCAATACATTGCTTAGCCTCTGTGTCGGCAGTCATGCCGCTTCTCCAAACTGGGGGCATGCCAACTGACATCCGCTAATTCAGTTGATAAGTACCCTACTTCAAAAAATCAGAACTACCAGTTTAATAACATGCTATCTTACACCAACTCTTTAAACCATGCATGTACCTCACTGTATTTGGTTTTGTTTATCAGGATCGCCTTAATGCCAGGAAGATCCACGAGGCTGCGGGGCTGCCTTTCTTTGAGGTGTTTGTGGACGCTCCACTGGATGTCTGTGAGCAGAGGGACGTCAAGGGGCTGTACAAGAGAGCCAGAGCGGGAGAGATAAGAGGTGAAGTATTGTTTAATACTGTTTATATGCAGTGCATCAATAGAGCCACAGCCTGTGCTGGACTTACAGTACAGTCCAAAAGTTTGGACACACCTTCTCATTCAATGCGTTTTCTTTATTTTCAATCAATCAATCAATCAATCAATTTTATTTATAAAGCCCAATATCACAAATCACAATTTGCCTCACAGGGCTTTACAGCATACGACATCCCTCTGCCCTTAAGACCCTCACAGCGGATAAGGAAAAACTCCCCCAAAAAAAACCCCTTTAACGGGGAAAAAAAACGGTAGAAACCTCAGGAAGAGCAACTGAGGAGGGATCCCTCTTCCAGGACGGACAGACGTGCAATAGATGTCGTACAGAACAGATCAGCATAATAAATTAACATGACTATTTACATTGTAGATTCTTACTGAAGGCATCAGAACTATGAATGAACACATGTGGAGTTATGTACTTAACAAAAAAGGTGAAATAACTGAAAACATGTTTTATATTCTAGTTTCTTCAAAATAGCCACCCTTTGCTCTGATTACTGCTTTGCACACTCTTGGCATTCTCTCCATGAGCTTCAAGAGGTAGTCACCTGAAATGGTTTCCACTTCACAGGTGTGCCTTATCAGGGTTAATTAGTGGAATTTCTTGCTTTATCAATGGGGTTGGGACCATCAGTTGTGTTGTGCAGAAGTCAGGTTAATACACAGCCGACAGCCCTATTGGACAACTGTTAAAATTCATATTATGGCAAGAACCAATCAGCTAACTAAAGAAAAACGAGTGGCCATCATTACTTTAAGAAATGAAGGTCAGTCAGTCCGGAAAATTGCAAAAACTTTAAATGTGTCCCCAAGTGGAGTCGCAAAAACCATCAAGCGCTACAACGAAACTGGCACACATGAGGACCGACCCAGGAAAGGAAGACCAAGAGTCACCTCTGCTTCTGAGGATAAGTTCATCCGAGTCACCAGCCTCAGAAATGGCAAGTTAACAGCAGCTCAGATCAGAGACCAGATGAATGCCACACAGAGTTCTAGCAGCAGACCCATCTCTAGAACAACTGTTAAGAGGAGACTGCGCCAATCAGGCCTTCATGGTCAAATAGCTGCTAGGAAACCACTGCTAAGGAGAGGCAACAAGCAGAAGAGATTTGTTTGGGCCAAGAAATACAAGGAATGGACATTAGACCAGTGGAAATCTGTGCTTTGGTCTGATGAGTCCAAATTTGAGATCTTTGGTTCCAACCGCCGTGTCTTTGTGAGACGCAGAAAAGGTGAACGGATGGATTCCACATGCCTGGTTCCCACTGTGAAGCATGGAGGAGGAGGTGTGATGGTGTGGGGGTGTTTTGCTGGTGACACTGTTGGGGATTTATTCAAAATTGAAGGCACACTGAACCAGCATGGCTACCACAGCATCCTGCAGCGACATGCCATCCCATCCGGTTTGCGTTTAGTTGGACGATCATTTATTTTTCAACAGGACAATGACCCCAAACACACCTCCAGGCTGTGTAAGGGCTATTTGACCAAGAAGGAGAGTGATGGAGTGCTGCGGCAGATGACCTGGCCTCCACAGTCACCGGACCTGAACCCAATCGAGATGGTTTGGGGTGAGCTGGACCGCAGAGTGAAGGCAAAGGGGCCAACAAGTGCTAAACACCTCTGGGAACTCTTCTTCAAGACTGTTGGAAAACCATTTCAGGTGACTACCTCTTGAAGCTCATGGAGAGAATGCCAAGAGTGTGCAAAGCAGTAATCAGAGCAAAGGGTGGCTGTTTTGAAGAAACTAGAATATAAAACATGTTTTCAGTTATTTCACCTTTTTTTGTTAAGTACATAACTCCACATGTGTTCATTCATAGTTTTGATGCCTTCAGTGAGAATCTACAATGTAAATAGTCATGAAAATAAAGAAAACGCATTGAATGAGAAGGTGTGTCCAAACTTTTGGCCTATACTGTATATCTGTTATGTGATCAAGACAGGGTTCATACTTCATACTACCGAGACACAGTGACATCTGTTACATAGAGATGCAGTCAGATTTTACTAATGGCAATTCTGCTTTACAAGAAAAAAGCTGATCAAACAGATGCGCACAGATATAAATATCTGTGGACCAGAAATGCATATGTTGCAAAACCCATGAGTGGCCACAAAGTGCCCACATGTACAGGCAGTAAGAGCTGTTTTACAGAGAGAGACCAGATCAATCAACTCATGAGGTTGTTTTTATGCAGCAACACGTTTATCAGCGTTGATGCTGTTAATGTATGATAACACAGATAAGGGCCTACTTTTTGTCCACATGATTGAGGTTTGATTGCTCACTGTGGTAATTTTGGTGCTGCTGCTCTAAGTGGATGGAGTCATTGGCAGAGCATATTCTGTAGGATGGTGAGTTTTAAGATGGGAGCTGGGAGATTTTTGGTGTTTCCATCTTAAGTCCTGACTTGTTTATCACACAGCTTACAAATGACTTAGTTCACATTCCCTGGCTCTCCTTTTTCACCAAATATATGCATTTGTGTACTTTTAACTGATGAGAGTGGGGATTTTTTCTTGCTGCACTGTAACAGTGACTCAGGGATAATGGTGCAGCCACACTGTTGCTTTGTCACTTACAGTGTGAGCACAGCATGGGCTAACTTTACATTATCACGATCAATCATTATGATACTTGGTTGTTAAACTCAAACCTGAGGACAAATCTACAGGAGTATTCTGTAGCTCAGTATGAATATCTACAGCCCATTTACATTTTCATCAGTAGGACTTCTGCTGTCTAGGTTACATAAAGTACCTTAATTCCACAGACTTCGCTTCCTGCCACATTACACAGAAATGGCATGACAGTAAACCTGACACATCACTATCAGAGGAAGTGTGTTTATCACATTGTGGTGCAACATGCTGTTTCTTTGCAGTAATAAGATCTTGACCCAGTTTCCTGAGTTTTGTGTGCTGATTGGCCTTTGTCAGAGTCTCTCTTCTGTCTTTAGTAGTTGAGTTAGTCCTGACTTTGTTTTAGAAGCTCCACTTAATCCCCAAGAAATACGAAGAATTATAACTTGAATCACTGTTCTCTGATTACTACACTGCTAAACCCACTAATGTAATAATTTTTGATTCTATGGTTAAGAGTTTGGATACAGTAGCTATTAGTTATGATTATTGATTTAATGGTATTTTAAGAGAAAAGGTTTACCAGTGTTGTGTTCATTTCAAAATGCATACAATAATGGAAACAGAGCAAACATAAGCTGTTCACTTTGAGTAGCTCAGACTGTTTTAAATCCCTTTATCTTTTAGGTTTCACTGGCATTGACTCAGAGTACGAGAAGCCAGAGGCCCCAGAGCTGGTGCTGAAGACCGACTCCTGCAGTGTGAATGAGTGCATACAACAGCTTGTGGACCTGCTGCAGGAGAGGGTGAGGGGGGAGAAATATCCTGCTTTGACATGTTTAATATGTTAATTATGTAAAGAATCAGCTGCTGTTGGTTTTTATTGTCCCTTTTAAAGAATATCTGTCATCACAGAGACAGTTAAAGGCTCACAGTCTTGACTTAAAACTGTGCCGTCATCCCTCTATTGGCCACAAGGGGGCAGTGAAGCCTCATGTTTGCATGCAAGTTGATGTGACTGCATCTACACTGTATTATGTATATCAATATTTAGTAAACCGTCACCAAAGTCTTATTTATCCAGGATGTTTTCTAATGATTTCATATTCTGTTTGCAGGATATAGTCCCTGTTGATGCATCCTATGAAGTGAAAGAACTGTACGTTCAGGAGAACAAACTGGACCTGGCTAAGGCTGATGCAGAGACTCTGCCTGCTGTACAGATTGGGAAGGTGCTTCTGATTTTGATAAATCTTAATAAATAAATGAAGCTAGATTACTATTGATAGCCTTTGTATATATTGTCCAGTTATTAATCATTTATCTCTCCACCAATACATGTATATATAAGTTGTTGGTCTGTATGTAAACCACAGTATATGACCGTGTGTGATCCTCAGGTGGACATGCAGTGGGTGCAGGTGCTGGCTGAAGGCTGGGCCACTCCTCTGAATGGCTTTATGAGAGAGAGAGAGTATTTGCAGTGTCTTCATTTTGACTGTCTGCTGGATGGTAAGATATCATTTATGTTTTAAGTAGAAGAAAATCTTGATATTTCTTTGTAAAATTTGTGTTGCTGTACTCAAAGATGCCACTAGATGGAGATGAGTGCTCACAAAATGGATTATTGAGAAACAGTTGATGGCTTTGTTTGGATATCAGCACACATCTCTCCCACCCAAACTATACCTCCATATATACTAGAAGTTGAGCACTGTCAGCACCAAGAAGTCCTCTCACTTAATGTGTCCTTTTAGCTCATCTTTTAGCTCTTAGCCATAGGGTTAATTTATAAATGTCTGTCATTTGACATTAATGAATTTATGAGTTCTGTATAATTTTGTGAGTTGAATCTCAAATGTCTGTCAGCTGTGCAGGGTTCCCACGGTCATGAAATTCCTGAGGAGGTTATGAAATTTGTAAAACTGTTCCCCAGACCTGGCAGTGGTTTGGAGTTAGCAGAATGTTTTGAGAAATTTTTGAATATACATTGTTTTAGCTAATGTTTAAAATATGTCAGTGAAGAAGCCCAAAACATGTCAAAACTTACGCAACATACGTTCCTCATATTACTTTTTTAAAAACCAGTGCTGCGCCCTTTTTTGGGGATAAGAAACAGGTTGTCATATACGGAGAGAAACAGGAAAATGCAGAAAAACTGTTGAGTATTGCGTTAACTAAGGCTTTCACACTGAGATTTGAGGCACATATGATGTGTAAATATTCACTGTCAGTTTGCTAAATTGCTAAATGATGCTGGTGACAATTACTGTTGATGAATAGCTTGAGTGGAATGCTGCTCCATCACTAGGGTCTCTGCAAGTCCTTATAAAGTCTTAAAATGTCTTAATAAATGTCTCTCTAGTCAGATAAGTCTGTAAATCTCTGTGAAAGTCTTTAATGTCATAAAATTAATTTTACAAATATCACGCCTTAAAAGTCATTAAATGGTCTTAAACTTTTTACTTTATCTACTTTTTAACGTATTTTTGTCAAAATGAGTCAAGCTCTTTTGTGTTAAATTCCATGCGTCTGATGTTTCAAACCTTTAAACCTACCACTGACCCATATACTGTCTTTTACTTGAATTTTAAATTATGTTAATAGGTTTTCAATGTAGTGAGTCTCTGTGATCTACAGGTGGTCTTTAAGGGGGTCTGAAAATTAAAAAAATAAGATCAGAAATCTGGAAACTTTAATTTACAAAACCATCGACTATATTTTATATACTGTCGATATACAAAACATTGTACACATGTCACATCTTGAGGTCAGTATAAAGAGCACCAAATTTGACCACCCACTATCAAGCAAATCAAATGTGATATATGATTATGATATGATAAGATAATCCATAAAGATTTAAATAAGATATTATATAAATTTAATGGCTCAACATTTTCAGAAATATGCTTATTCCCTCTTTTTCTGACAAGAACTGTTTTGTTTTCCTTTCCCTCATTGAGACTATGATCAAAATGGGATCTCATCTTTGCTGAGATATGTAGCAGAGATATGGAAAAGGGCAGTTATTGGTTATTTGGTAAAAAATTATCTTAAAAAGGTACTCAAAAGCATTAAATTTAAATGTCTGATTGATATCTGTAGACACTCTGAGTACAGTCATACAGTATAACAGCATCAGACTGTTGAGTCCAGCTAAATCCTAGCCTATAGATCAAACAGTTGGCTATTAACCAGTTGTCTTTTTACAGACAACACTAAGTTTAACGATACCTGGTGATTCAGTCAAAGGTATCATGATCTAGATATCTATACATGTGTAGATGTCTGGATAAGCAATATCGGGCCACTGTGTTGGATCATTGATCTTAGAAAAGGGGAACAGTGAAGGGACATGAGTGGGATCAACCTAAGCCAAACAAATGTCAAATTACATTTACATCTACAGGATCCTGGGCTTTCTATCCCCCAAAAAGGGGTGTGCCCTTGACATTTTGCTGAGACTCGTATGTGCCGGTCTGATCTATTGGCATATGTGGCTAGTTGGCGGCGGGAATGTCTAACAAGCGATAAAGATAGCAAGTGCTAGCAGTTTGCTCATCTGCAAATACCTGGGAAGTGCTTGTTTAATAATGTATGGCTGTATCGCTGTACTGGCCTACCTATTTTAAGCAGCTTCAATAAAGTCATGGAAATGGTGTAAAATATTATGGACAAAAAAAATTTAACAATTAATTTGTAATAATGTTAGGGAACCCTGGCTATAGCTCTTTATGTTCCCCTCTAACATTTTTAGAACTTTAATATTCCAATAAAAATTGAGCACTGATCAAATGGAGCGTTAAATTAAATTAACAAATACTCCCTGCATGTGTCCCTGCAAACTGCAATGCATATGTTTTACTGTTGGATGTGCTAAGAGGCTTAAATTAGCTTTTTTCCTGCAGGCTGACATGCTTAAGAAGTGCTCCATTATACAGCAGTGATGTACAGCTTAGCCAGGTGTCAGAATGACAGATTTATATACTCAGGAGTGATTTAGATGCAGAATTTTAAGGATGATGATGTTGTATATCATGTTGGTGAAGTAATAAGTCCAGCTGAAAACCAAGTCTCAGGAATGTCTTTGCTTTTTTGGCACTTTGCAGAGAACGAATATCACATTGGGTGTAGAGTCTCTTGGTGTAATTACAGCAATTTCTCTTGTATTGTTTGAAATTCCAAGAAAAAGTCAATTTACTTTTATTGCCCATACGACCACTCAGACCTCAGTTGTGTGTTGTGACGCCAAATATTTTGCTACACTCGCAGTAAAAGGAAAAATACATAAAATAAATTGAAAGTTAACATAGGCTGTATTTCATTTTTCAGATTTTGACAGGTATATATTACAACTGCTGTCCTCACTGAAGGATAAAACCATCAAGTTCTTACAACTTGATGATTTAAGGTCTTTCCTCAGAAACATAGCTTGCCTGAGAAACTGAACTGTCTGGAGAGACGGAGGCAAAAATATATATTGATGCGAAAAGTCTTGATTCCACTTTTCCTGTTTGTCCGGAGGGAAAGGGATGCAGAGGAAGAGGCTTGTGTATTGATTGACACCACACACCACCATTTGTCCATTTTCACTTCCTTCCAGGGATTTGACAGTGCAAGAATGATATCACTGTGAAAGGACTGATCGCAGCCTAACACTAAAACTGGTTGGGAAGCAGAAAACTTCATGTTTGACTAATCAAATAGTCTGAAGAAATAAACAGAGACCAAAATCCAGGCTTGTGTGTGTCTCTCGCCCGGACATTTGGCAGTCTTGGTTGTGTGTGTATGTGTGTGTTTTATTGGAACCAGCTGTAAGCTCTACACTGTGACAGAGGGGACGAGAAGAGGGTCCAGGGGTAGGTGGGGGCAGAAACAGTCAGCCTCCCCTCCTGTTTCCACTGCAATTGATCTGATGTGAAAAGCGTGCCGGTCCAAACGTTTTCATCAACCTGGACGGCAAAATGAACGCGCCAACAGAGCGCTGTCACTGCAAGAGGGTCAAGCTCCAGCTTAGCTTAAGAGGGGATTTTTCTCCTCTAGCTTCTTAAATTGCAGCCTTGAAGACTCACTGTAGCCTTTGGTTTAGCTATATATCCCACATTTAGCCTGAAGGGGTACAGAATGGAAATTTGATCAGAATGGTTGAGCTGTTTTGTCGAGTAACCTTTGAACGTTTTAACCTGCTTTTTGAACGATGTCTGCTCTGTGTGCCTCAGTGCTTTGCATCGGGATCCTTTATGTTCTTTTCCTTGGATCGTTTATCCAATATTAAAGGCACCCTGTGGATTTGTCTTGTAAACAAGCACAAGTTATGTTTACATTTAGTGTTCCCCATTAAAACACATTGTGTCCTTCCTTGAGGCTAAAAATTGCGTTGAATGCATTTCCTTTCATTTCCCTCACATTCATGTTTGCTGGTTTGCAGTCATTTTCTTCACTTAATGTTAATGTCACCAACAGGCAGTCAGTAGCATAGTTTAAAAATAGTGGCAGGACTGTGTTGCTTCATAGCAGAGCTGGGCTGTGGCTCAAGAGGTAGAGCTGATGTCTTCTGAAAAGAAGTTCGGTGGCTTCATCTCTTGCCCTTGTAGATTACATGTCGAAGTGTCCTTGGGCAAGATACTGAACCCCAAATTGCTCCCGGTGGCTGTGTCCTTGGGCAAGATACTGAACCCCAAATTGCTCCCAGTGGCCGTGTCATCGATGTGGGAGTGCGTGTGAATGTTTAGGTGGTACCCTCAGCATCCAGTTTATGAATGTGTGTGCAAATGAGTGAATTATGCCTGTGTTGGAAAGAGCTTTGAGTGGCCCCTTAAGGCCCAGACACACTAGATCGACATCACAGAGCTATTGGTGACAAAGGCTGACTGTTGCGTTTCCTTTCGTTGTCTGTATCTTGGCCAAAAAGACACACTACAAAGACTACAGGCATTGGCCAACTATCACGTATTCTCTGCACCTGCGTGAGAGGGAATAATTCCATAACAGCAGACGGCTGCAGTCTGTATTTCTTTTCATAAAAGAGAAACTGAAGACCAACAGGACGAATTCAAGACACCAGTTAGCCAGTTAGCACATTAACAACACAACCCGATGTTGAAAGAACAAAGAATATTTTTCGTGCAGTGTCAAAAAGAACAACCAAAAAACATCATACTTGTTAAGTTTGTTTTGATCTCATGCCCTTTTGACTTATTTTGTTTACTTTCCTCACTTCTGTTTCTCTTCTTGTGAAATGTGCCGAACTGCCAAACAGAATAATTTAATTCACCGACAGGCTCCACCATCTCTGACGCTGATTCAACATACTGAATTGGCCGAAAAAAAGCAGACGGGTCAACTAGTGCCAACAGTGGCGGACACACAGCAAAAGCTAGGGCAACAGATGCTCACAGACAGCCTGACATTTGCCAATGGCTGACCGTCGGCTTGGCGTGTCAGGGCACTAAGACTGGAAAAGTGTTATATAAATGCAGGTGTCATCAATATAAATGCAGTGTCAGTAATTTTTCAAGCGAAAATGTCAATATTCTCTTGTTTTAGCTTCGAAAATGTGAGGATTTTACACATGTTTTTGTCATACTTACGGCAGAAGGATTTTGTTTATTTCGTTTTACATCCCTGAACTAGTAGTGTAGTGGTAGTTTGAGTTTCTTTGGGTATGGACACTTGGGTGGACAAAACAAAACAAGCAATTTAGATATGCTACCTTTTGGCTTAAGTAAACAAAATAATAGCAGGCATTTTTCACTATTTTCTGACATTTGTTTGACAAAATGGTAAATTTATTATTCAGCAATTGACCAGCAGAATACTTGATAATGCAAATAATAGTTAATTGCAGCCCTGATGTATTTTCTCTCTGCATAAATGTGCCTTTTCCCCTCATGGAAATGCTCTTGGTTTTCCATTGTCCTAGGTGGCGTCATCAACCTGTCAGTGCCTGTGGTGCTGCCAGTGTCTACTGCAGATAAAGAGCGTTTAGATGGCGTGACAGCTATGGCCTTGGTCTATGAAGGCAGACGAGTAGCCATTCTTCGCAACCCCGAGTTTTATGAACACCGTAAAGAAGAGCGATGTGCTCGCCAGTGGGGCACCACCTGCAAGGACCACCCCTACATCAAGGTAAATTTTATTCTCTGCAAACTGAATTTACTATGTAGAATGTAGTATGTTAGAAATTTTATAGAAAACCCAAAAGTTCAACTGTGGTCAAAGTACTGAGCAGCATCACAGAGCTGCAGGCGGTCTGTCTCAGTGTACTATGTGATAAACACTCTGCATGCGAAAGCAAACGGCCTCCCTGGCTTCGGCACTGATAGAACACAGATCCGAGCTGGCCTCTTCACATTGCTTATGGAAAGACTGAATAGGTGGCGGAGTGGAGCTTTTCTCACAGTCTGTCAGGACGCCCAGTATAATCACTTGATCTTTTTGGTCCACCCTCATTTTGCAGGTGTTATATTTGGATGCTGAGTCTCTCACTCAGCCTCCACCAAATGCGTTCTGAGATTGTGCTGCTCAGCCCAACAGGCTGTGGAATCCCTGCCAGCTTCCACCTTTCCGCTCACCCAACCCTTCTCCAAATATACCCGGGAATTGTTTCCATCTGTGTCCTATCGACTGCTGTGGGGCTCAGGTAGACTCAGTGGCGAGATAACGTCCTGAAATGATCCTGCACACCCTGCGGAAAGTGGCACTGGCTTGTAGCTGGAAAAGAGTGGAGCGGTCTGGTGTTACAAAGATAGTTGTCAGATTGCCTTTTTATAAATCCATCTGCGTGGACTGGGAGTGCAAGGTTACTTTTAAAAGTTGCTAATCTGTCTGGCTAATTTAAGTCCCATTGTTTTCAGGATTCAGTGTTTCCTGTGGAACAAAGGATTGCCGTGGGGGGCATGTTTGCATGCGGGGGCAGTTATTCCATGACCTTTAAAAGAAATGTAGTATTGAAAACTGCAGATATTGTTTTAAATAGTTGTACTTATCTAATATTATTTATACACACAAAATGGACCAGTCAAGTAGGAAGCAGGTACCTCCTAAAATCAAGTACTATAAAAACCACCAGTTGATATAGAAAAAAAAAGGTTTGCACTTAGTGTTGCAACTATAGTTTCTTACTGGGAGACAGGCTACATCTTTGCTGGGAAAGAAGATTTACTTTGCTTTTAACAGTTTATTATGATATGTAATAGTCCGTTATTGGATTTCTTGTGGTGCAGACTCCATCGTGCCCAAAAACATTGGTGTTTTAGAGGAAGTTATTCAAGTATCCCAGTGAATCCAGCCAGACCCCTGGAGAGAGTTCAGTTCAGTGTTCAGTCTAGTCACCTATAAAGTACATAAGGTAACTGCTGTTACTGCTGATCTACAGTAGGATGTGTGATTTAGTTCCAGCTCTCGATTGGCACTTAGAGCTTCATCTCAAATGTGGAGGTTTGGAGGCTTTTTAATCCTCCTTCAATGTTTGTTTTAATATATGAAGTACACTGCAGACTGGATTCTTTACTAACAGTTACAAACGACTGACTCATATTAACGGGTGCAACGCAGGTTGAACACGCATTGGCACGCACTGCGCTGTAGGCTACGTGTCTCCTGTATGAAATGTCTGTATCCTCACTGTGCATCATTTTTATAAACTATGATAATCTGTCAGGATCCAGGTGCCATCCCACTCCCTCTTCTTCCACTTGCAGTATTGCAATATACAATATTCTACTTGATATCAAACAAAAGCCAGAGGCTTTATCACATTAAGCTGCTGAGAGCTGTAAATTCACGACTTCTCAGCAGAAGGTAGAAGATAATATTATCTCAGAGCCTGACAGGGCAAAGCTTCTCTTCCTCTGGGCAGCTGCCTCCGTCTCACTCAGACTAATGCTGAGTCTGAGTCCGCAGCTGCCTGAGAGCAGTGCTAAAGCGAGGAGAGCTCATCCTGCAACTAAATCTGGGAACTGAAACGTCCCTAGACATACACTGCACTCTGACTGACACACACTCAGCTGCTCGATTTGGATAATCTTAGTTGACTGAGGGGTCTCTTACTGATGATTAAAAAATTAGACTTTACAGAGGCAGCCCTAAATAGTAACCAACCAGGTATTTAGTGATTTCAGTCCCTGGGGTCAGATTTACCTTAAACCTCATTGGCTCATTTTAAAGCCTTTTGCTGCTAAAAATTCTGGATGGAGATTAACTTGAGCACTCAACCGCAGCTGTCTCAATATTTCACCCCACTTAGCAGTCATTTTTCATCTCAGCAGATATCTTTTTTGTCTCACCTTGTTCGTTATTAAATCTGGCTCTGTTATATGTTTCAAGATGCAGGGCGCTGCCAGATTCATAAATTAGTATCACAACTCTACAGTGTCAACACCTGATGCCTCAGCGCTGGCTTTTCACTCTGTATTTTCACAACTGTCATTCTTTATCCACTCTTAACCTGCCACAGCTGAATATGTGTGTTCAGCTTGCCATGATTAGGGTGTCACTCATTAAAGAGTGTGTGTATGTATACATAAGTGTATGTTTAACTCCCCGCACCGGAGCCAGTCTGTCAGCACACCTCTGCGCGGGTAGCTACGATTTTTTTTTCCTTTCCCGACTAGAGACGACCTGCTCCATATTACATGTAGTTAATCCACTTTTTCCTGTTTACCTGTCCGTCAGTCAGACAGGAGCCCCCTTCATCGGAAACCATGGTGTAGTGTGTTTATTTGGCCAGGGCTCTTTTCACATGCAAAGTCCTGGGGCACTTACAACGGTTAAGCAGAGCACATGTGTACGTGTAGACCTGCTCCTTTGATGTATCCATGCAGACATTATATTTTCCATGCACTTATGTTAGGAAAATAAATTGCAACTCGTCTATGCCGTTGATCTCTCCAAAAAAAAAGACTGTTAAGCATCATGATGACTCTTCTTAGGCCAGCAGCGGACAGGTTGGATTAATTGAGTGTGGAAAACAAATCACGACACGATCTTAAAAAAGTCTGGCGACGAAGCCAAGTGGTTATTGATCACATCACGTAGACACCACTGCTGCTGACAACTTTCTGATTGTTATGGAAAGCTTGCCAGATCAAACTGAAATCAGTCTGTAATGTATGGATATCGGAGGGGTTTTTTTTAACATGATAAATTAGATGTTAATAAATAAATGACATCTTTTTAGCAACTTCCAAAAATGTATTTTTACAATGCTTCCACATTTTATGTTTCTTGGCTTTTTTAAGTTCTCTCTGTCTCAGTGCTGGAGCTGTGCTCTATTTATTGCCTGTAGAGAATTGTCACTTTTTATCACATTAACATCACACAGGCCAGTCTTTTCAGTAACTCTAGCTATGGTCTCATAAATGCCACAAGAGGCAGATGAAAGATATCGCCTGAAACAATAGCAGCCTTCGCCTGGATCCTGAGCAGCTCTGTGACATGATTGTTGGATTAATCTCTTGAGAGGAAAAATTCTCTCCAGACTCATCACCAGGTTTTATTGTGGAACACAATCTGATTTTTTTTTGCCTGTTATTGAAATTAAGGTAGCAGACAAAGCCAAGTGCAGAGGAGAGGGTTTGCCAGAGTTTTGTTGACTGTTTAATGACACACGGAGACTTTGATTTATGCTGGTGTGGCCCTTTTGCAACTGGGTAATAACTCGAGAGTTTTATAAGAATTCACGGTGGCCTGGTTGCAGCACAGTGACTTTTTTTTTATGGACCACAGTGTCTTAAGTCTGGATTGTGTTTGAGTTGTGTTCCCTGTCATGATCACTGCGACTTCTATTTCAGATGGTGATGGAAAGTGGGGACTGGCTGGTCGGGGGAGACCTGCAGGTTCTGGACAAGATCTACTGGAATGACGAACTGGATCAGTATCGACTGACACCCACTGAGCTCAAACAGAAGTTTAAAGAAATGAATGCAGGTATGGGCCAAGTTCTGATGGCTCTGTTTATTTTCTGCCAGAAGTAAATTAAAATGGCGGCGGCATCTGGAATCAAGGTCTTTTGGGGAGACAGTCTTGTCACAATATTTATAAACTGCTATCTTTTATTTTCTTAAAAAAGGAGAAGACACAATGGGTAGTCCACTCACTTCAGTGCTGTAATTCTTTGTTTAGGCTTTGGTAAATAAGGGACACAGAGTAGGAAAGTCGTGGCAGAGAAAGCTCTGGTGTGATTCAGTCCCTCATTGTATGTGGTTTCAGTGGTTGGGCACTGAGCTGCTTGATTATCTCTGGGTACATTGTGGCCTTTTGTTTGTTTTGTACAGCTGTGTTTGGATGAGTTTGGTCGCAGTTTTACAAACCCTTCTCACCCTGCCTCTTTCTCTCTGTTTAGATGCTGTGTTTGCCTTCCAGCTCCGCAACCCAGTCCACAACGGCCATGCTCTTCTGATGCAGGACACCCACAAGCGTCTCATCGAGCGAGGCTACCGCCGGCCTGTCCTGCTGCTCCACCCACTGGGAGGTTGGACCAAAGACGACGATGTGCCGCTGCCTTGGCGGATGAAGCAGCACGCAGCTGTGCTGGAGGAGGGCATCCTGAATCCAGACTCCACCATTGTTGCCATCTTTCCTTCACCCATGATGTATGCTGGGCCAACTGAGGTAATGATTATCAAGAGGGCTGTATTTGCAGTTACGTGCTTTAGGTTTATTTTTATGTTTTCCTCAAAACTGACAGGGAACAAAAAATGTGAGTGTAGCTCTGGGAAATGATAACAGACACAGGGAGGGCGACTGTCATTTACTTGTTGCCTGCAGATTTCTGGGAGTGAAAAATGGCAGGAAAAGGGATTTGCAATTGTCTTGAGGCGCTCTGTTAAGTGTTTCCTTGCCATACACGAAACCTCTTTGTGTGACTGAGCGTAGCTGTGTAGCTGGGAATCTTTTAATCATTCACTTAGGATAATTGGAAAACTACAGTGCAAATTATTGAGAGCAGATTGGAGACTGTGTGTGGATGTCAGGCAGTGAATTTTCTCAGCTTGTAATTCTGAATGGGAGGTTTAGGGAACCAGATTCAGCTCCAACTTTAGTATCATTGTTCTGACCTTGTTTACTCATTAAAAACAACATGTACCCTTAGCCTCCCCACCGAAAACTACTCAGTGTCTCTCTAGTGTTCATTTTGCCACAATGTCCTTAAGCAACACAATAAAACCTGCCACTTCCATCTTGAGATCCTTAAAATATACAAACTGCATGGGCAAAAACCCAATGACGGTAGCATAAGTGTAACTAATTTTAAAGTAAAGAAATTGTTGTGCCTGTCGAAGAGTAATGTGGAGATTTATGTTATTGATAACTAGTGAAATGAAAGCAAGATATGAAGGTATAAAAAAGTAGATACCGCCCCAAGCCTATTAAAATTAACAATCTTTATTGTACAAAATACATTGTAAAACATTAAAATGCTATTACTCGTCACGGCCTTACAAGAATACAGAAATTCCACACTTTTCTAAACTTTATTCACTTGTGTTTATAGTTTTTCTTCCTTTTTTTTCCTCGTCCACAGGTTCAGTGGCATTGCAGAGCTCGAATGGTGGCTGGAGCCAACTTCTACATCGTGGGCCGTGACCCTGCCGGCATGCCCCACCCTGCCACAGGGAAGGACCTGTACGAGCCCACTCATGGCGCCAAAGTCCTCACCATGGCTCCAGGCCTCATCACCTTGGAGATCGTACCCTTTAAGGTCGCTGCTTACAACAAGGTCAAAAGAGCAATGGACTTTTATGACCCCAAAAAGTGAGTACTTGTTTATGTTATCCTCAATTTTTTAAAGCCCGTGTCTCATCCTGGATCCTATGGTCTTTAAGTTTTATTAAGGTCATGAAATCCAAAAATAGTTTGAGTCTCACACTAAATTAAATTGCTTATTTGTTGATTTAGAACCAGCAGCCTAAACAGAAATTACATTCTCTAAATTAATTACTCATTAGCCTTGTCTTGTTTAAAAAAAAACCTTTCATCCATTTTCCGTCCTTCTTCTCTTCTATCTTCAGCAAAACACTAAGCCAACAATAACAGGAATTGTTTTTCTTTCCTATTGAGTTAAAAGGTTTTGTGGATTAGTCTGAGCTTTGATGTTGCTCAAAAATTACAGAGACCTGCCATTAATTAAAGTCTGTGTACGAACACCGCACATGATGACTAACAAAAATCATGCAGTTTCACTGCCTCTTGTCCGGATTTGATGCAGCCTTCACCATCACATTATGCAACTTCAGCTGTGTTTAGTCAGGAATGCTAAAACTGAATATGGCCAGACTAATCAGAAGATTTGCTTTGTTTTCCATGATGCATATTTGTGACGTTGGGTCCAAACTGAACTGTTGATTGAGAACATTGAGTACATTTAGTGCTACTTAAAATATGACTAAACAGTTTTTTAGCTTCCTCTCACTTTGAGATTGTGACACAAGCAGATGCAAAGAAAAGAAAAAGTTTCCTGCTCTGAGTTTGAAACATTTTAATCAGTTCATGATGAAAATACCTGGTGTCGGTTAAATGTCACTTGTTTTCTACATAGTGATAAAAAGTTTATCATGTATTTATAAGGGAGGAGGGATGATCAAGACTTTTTATGGGGGGATATTCTGTAACAATACCAGTAACTGTGAGTCTGAATTACTGACAAAAGTAAATCATCAGCCTAAATTCAAGGATTCAAAGCTTTTTTTTTCACATACACAGGCAAATGTGTAGTGAAAGGCAGTGTGGTATATTCATGAGGACTAGTGTGAAAAATAAGGATCTAGAAATTAGGGCTGGGTATCCAAACGTCTCCAGTCAAACAGTACCTGTATACAATCTTTGTTGCGCCACAAGTGTGATCCTGGACTGTTCCGACTCCCCGCTGGGTCAGCAAACTTTCTGTTGCTGCCATCGCTGGGGCTGCTTTCCTCAGGGCAAAGAGTCGGCTCACTGTCTGCCCACTTTGCACGTGCTAACACAGCGGCAGCGGCTAACATCCAGCACCGAGCCACTAAATGGTCTCAACAAACTCATAGTGACACCGACACGGCTCGCCTCTGTCATAAAACCTGACAGGAACTGTTAGGATAGTCGTTTGATGCTATCAGTTAGCCCTGCCACTGTGTGTGAATGGCTGGGCAGACCCTCACAACTGTCCCTGACACGGAGCTTAAAGTTAGCTAATGTTATAACCCATACAGTGTGTGATGTGATAAGGTCGAGTGCAGCGCGTTTGATGAAGTTCAGCATTTGAAAATATTGCTGTACAACATGCCACTCAATTCACATTATGGGTATCAAAGGAAGTACTTTATTGGTATCTGTATCACTTTACAGGTACAGGTTTTTGTACGGGTATCATAATTTCTTGAATGACACCCAGCCCTAATAGAAATCCAGAAAAAAACAGTTATAAAGGATGCAAATTCAAAGACAGAAAACCATAAATATATGCAGAAAAAAATAATATGTCACAATTGCAGGCAAACTACAAAATAATTTAGTGCAGGTTCGAATGCAGATAAAAGGCTTATACTGGCACACTGTGTAATCTGCTTTGTAGTTGTATCAACACATGAACAACCATCCCATTGGCCTTCACTGAACTTTCAAACTTATTTTTAGAGTGTTATTCAAAATCAGTAAATCCTTCCCTCCAGTAAAACACACTATACTGTATTTTTTATAGAGTCTCAGTGATCCAGTGGCTTGATATCATCTTCAGGCTAAAGCTAGAGAGAGAAATGCAAGATGGTTACTGGATTTCCAAAGTCTGTAGTCGTCACTCAGTCTAGATTTATGGCATTCCATTCTCTCATGCACGCTGACAGCAGCGTGCCAAATTTCAGGAGGAATATGGATGCTTCTCCTAATCACCAGCAATACCCCTCAATCTTCCTCCAGAGCGTAATGGCTCGGATCACAGCAAGCTGTTTCTAATTGGACACTGTATAAAAATGTTCTCGGAAGAATTTGCCTGGAGCTCTTTTACCTCACGCCATGTGAACCGCTAGGTCTTCTTCACAGCTTCAGAGCAACACGATGTGCTCCGTCATGTGATAGCAATTAGAAATGGGACTTCATAATCAGCAGGACCCTCTCTGACTGTCAGCTTAGTGGGGATAAGTGTAAATGTCTGCTAACAAGATGTCTGAAACTGTCTTGATTATCCCTGACGGTAATTTATAGACCAGGCTAGTGAAGATGTGATGAACTCGTGCCAGCGCTCCGCTCAGCACCGGTCTAAGATGAAGAGTGTCCTTTGGCTGCTCGCTTCAAACAAAGTCGCTCATATCTTTTCTGAAGTGAATGTGCAGAGAGATGCAGTCTATCATAGTGGGAGGATAGTGGAGACATAGGGATATTTGAAAAATGTTCGGTGAGGGAAATCTAAAATCTGATTATCGGAAAGAAGCTTTGTGACAGTATTTGAGTTTCCGATCAGTGCTGAATGTGAAGTGTGTCACGGCATGCAGACGGATAGTTTGGTCATGGTGATGTTACACAATAGTGTGATTTCCTAAAGTGATATTACAGATTTTTTAACTAGCAGTCAGGGTTTTGTCTGTTTATTGAATAGCGGTTTTGGCTGTTTTCTGTCACAAAGAATTAGAACAGAGATTTTCTGCTTTTAAAGGAAAACTGTGCCTTAATCTGTCGGTAGAGTGTGGCATAAATATTTGAAATCTTGGCACTTCAGTGTATCATATAAAAATTAAAATCCTTTAACAGATATGGGTTAATTCGTTATAAAAACACATCCTTTAAAATTATTTCTTTCCTCCTCCAAGAGCACCAGCGAATGTAGGGGACACTAAAAGCCCTCCTGTGTATCATTGGTCACGCTGCCACAGGCGGCTTGCCTGCCCACCATCTGCAAATGTGTGCTCACCCTTTTTATCTGATAACTTAATGTGTGCTCACCTTATTTCTGATCCAGACGTTCAGAAGCCATTTGCTGAATTGTCTGCAGAGGTCTCCTCCTCTCCAAAACAAATAGACCTGGTGATTTAAACTGCTAAAAACACTGAATAAAGCAGTTTCATGTTACAGATCATTGCTTCTGCGATGCTATTTAGCATTTCAGGTTAGGCTGCTGACCTAGCACCTACTAATCTGTGGTCAGCTTTTTTCTCTGATAATTTCAGCCCCAGATGTTCAGGAGGTTTTTACCCAGAGCTACATTATTCACAGAAGTCTCTTCCTCTCCAAAGCAAATGGACCCTGTGATGTAAACCAGAAAAACACTGAATAAAAAAAGCACCTTAAAAAAATCTGTGTTTTTCAGATACCTCTTGTCACGGAGTGGCTGCTGACTGCAGTGGCTGATGTGAAAACGCAAAACCACAAATGGCCCTAGCCAGTGTTTGGTTTGGTGGGGCTACTGTAAAAACATGGATTTGAGTGTGGCTATATCGGTAAACGAGGACCTGCTCCCCCTGTAGATATAAATGGCTCATTCTGAGATAACAAAAACACAACATTTCTTATTTCTAGGTAATTTTTACACGAGAGAAAACATTAGGACTGTACCTAATCAGCTGAATCAGATTTGTTGGTTTAATCCCAATATTTAATTATTCTTTTTTTCTTTTCTTTTTTCATTTAAAGCTAGAACAGGGTTCAGTGGGACGTTCAGTGTGACAGTGGCATTCGTGTAATAAAGTAAACAAGCTAATGGCGATAACAAAGGACCGGAAATGTGCAACAACATTTTGTTGACACTAGATATTAAACAAAAGCCAGAGACTGTCATATTAAGTATCTGTCAGCTGTAAATTCACTTCTTCCAAGCACAAAAGGAGCCTTATGGTGGAAAGTTTCTCCTCCTCTGTGCTGCTGCATCATGTCTGAAAAATTTTAGTTTCTTCACAAAATGTAAGGCCAGGATGTTCTAGTGCTATTTTAAGAGTTTAAGCATATTTTGAAGGTTATTGTGATAGTATTGTGAATTGTTATTTTGGTCAGGATAATCCTAACATAAAATCTTCAGATGGTCTCATACTCTGATTCCTAGCTGATTCCTACTGGATTGTAAAAGTATCTCTGCAGCCACGGAGTGATTTGTGAGACATTACTTATAAAGCAGATGCCAGAAATGGCCAGCACATGAAATGTAGAGTATACTGATACATGTATTCCCACACATATCGAGCGGGATTGGGCTCCGATCCAGGCGTTGCTGGCTAAAATCAAGATGATCTGTACTGCATTTTACTGCGTTTTCTCAGCCTGCTATTGATGCAGCGCTGCTCTCCTTAATGGCAGACGTGTTGTCACTAGTCAACATTATTCTGTGAGTGATTTGATGACAGGTCAAAATCAAACATGTCTGGCAGGTTGTCTGCATGGGCCCACATATGTGCTTTACTTAATACTTACCTGCAGTGTTTGAATAACATAGATGATTTGTCCAAAAATCAGTCTTAAATTTGATTAAAAATAATTTTAAAAAGGTCTTAAAAAGCATTAAATTTAAGTGTCTGATACCTGTAGACGTCCTGGTCAAATTAATTCAGGAGTTGCATTCCCCCAGTTTAACTCCTGTTTATATTGTACCAGAAACTTTAACCTATCAGTGTCCTTCGGTATTTGGATCAAGCAGCTTACAAAAATAAGGCTTGCCAAATTTAGTAGTCTGCAGCTGTTTTTTTCAATGAGTCAAATACATGTTTAATGAACATTTAGGTTAAAACATCTGATCAGGACATTCCTAGCAGGAACGTTCCAAGAGCTTCTTTTGTGTTTTGAGACTTGGGATTGTGTTTGCATAAATAGTAACTGGCCTGCTCCTTCGCCTCGATGCAGTTATTGTTGGCTCACATTTCCTGTGCTGATGATAAGCATCTTTTCATTGATTGAAATATGTCTGTTACTCAAGCCTCTCTCTCTCTCTCTCTTTTTTTTGTTGTAATTGCAGCCATCAAGATTACGATTTCATCTCAGGCACACGTATGCGCAAGATGGCTCGCGAGGGAGAGAATCCTCCTGATGGGTTCATGGCGCCAAAGGCTTGGGCCGTGCTGAAGGAATACTATAAATCACTGGAGAAGGTTTAAAGGTCGAGTCTTGGATCCAACAATAATGGAAACACAGTGATGTTTAAGAGGATTAATGTGGGGACCACTCATCTACTGTCAAAAAAAACGCACTCTGGCTTCTGTCTGTGTCACTTTTACACACAATCATAGGCCATTAAAAGTGGGCTCAGTTGTTTTTAGTCTTATAACATTAGTGTTCTAACTGTATGTTCTTTATTTAACTCAACTCACTCTGATTGTGAAATATAGTAGGAGAGGTCAGTATACTGTTGGATTGGTACTTCAAGTGAACGAACAAAAGCACTCTTACGTAGATGTTTGTATTTCTCACTAACTTTATAACTGTATATTCTGACGGTGACTGCTTACAAAAGGATTACGTACACTTTGAAAGATTATGACTTGTATGGAAAGTACTGTTGACCAGTACTTGGACAGGCGGGAATGAATGTTCAGTATTCGTGATGTTCAAATTCAAAAAGTTACTGCACCTGCTAGAGTTCTCTTAACTCACTACTGAAATCAGAACATGTTACTTTTTACTATATGTTTGCAAGTGGCAGTGGCAATTGCTCACATGATGTCTTGTTTGAATTAGGACACACACACACACACACACACACACACACACACACACACACACACACACACACACCTGCTTCTTGTCTCACTTGTCTATATGTTACACTGATACGGTCCAGTAGTTGGAGAAACGGTCCGCAAAACAGATCAGCATTAAAGATGTTTTTATTGGGATATGCAACCCTAACCTTCCTGAACGTCTAGGAAACATTTTTAACATTTTTATTTGTCATGTTTAGTCTATTTATTCTGTCCTAACATTACGTTTACTCTTTTTAATCGTTGTGTCGTGCATGTAGTTTTCGGTGCTTTAAACTTGTCTCTCGGCAGGCTTGATATTTTCTTATGTTTTTATCATTTGTATTTTTTTTTTCTCCTCTCTAGGGTTGCTAATATTTTCCATGTGGTAATTCATTTTTAAGAGTTGGCCTGTATAATCAGATGGATGATGGTTACCATCAAGGGATCAGATTTGTAATCTTCCTTGTCCAATAAAGCATTTTTAGCAACAAAAAAAAAGAGAACAATTTGTTTATTTGGCCTTTCTGTAATCTTTGAGTTTGTTACTCACGGTATTTTTTTTCTTTTGCAGCACACCAAAGAGTTTTTAATACGTAACATATTCTCAAACAATTCCACTTAATGTTGAATGACAGCAATGAATTTCATGTGTTTCAGAAACTAACTCACATTGATGACATGTCATCAGCGTTAGCTGCCTGTGACAGCTCAATAGCTTTCAATCTCTTCATGTCTTCATGACTAACTTGTTTCAAGTGCATTTTGTCATCTACATGAGCGGAGCACTCTTCAAAGTTTAATTTCCACGATTTCGTAGGCCCTGCCTGTTGGAACTTTTGTGACCTACCAGTCAGTCAATCAGCTGCATATTGAATGAGACAGACCCTCCAGTGACCCCAATCAGACTCAGACGCAGTCGCACACTGTATACAAAGAGCTGCAGCTGGCTCCCAGATGCAGCGGTGAAGTGAAAGTGGAACATACAGGGTTAAATCCAGACTGAGGAGAGTGGTTCTGTCAGAAAGACCCCGGATACATCATCTAATCCAACTCCAAGATATAATGAAGAGACCTGCCAACAGCAATTCTTTCTACCTTTCACCAGATCTTGTTCAATCTCAAGTGGTAATCAAGCTGGGTCCTTACTACAACTTCAAAAGAAGACCATTTCTTTTTTTACACAGAGAATGATCAAATGAGTTTTGAGAGTTTGCCTTATGATTTTTCTTGTTCTTTAAACTGTCTGGAGGAGATCAGATGCTCTCTAGTTAATGCAGGTGTAAGTTACTATGTGTATCCGTAACCTCTTGATGTTATCTCACTTGATGCATGCACCGTGTATTTTTAGTTCTGGGTCCTTTTTCAGCTTGTTCGCCACATAATCAGATCTGCTTTGAAACTCTTTATCCGTCTGAGGTTGTTGTTACAGTGTGGCACCCTGCCAGAGGAAAAAAAGCTGAAGGTGCCAGAAGAATTTGTAGGCTACTGTTTACATGACTTCTGCCTTCACTCACCTGCACCACCTCATATTAGTCATAAACAACAACACTGATCACAGACGATGATGAAACAGAATAGATAGATAGATAGATAGAACTCAGATAAATGGTGCTTTACTCACTATGTGCACTGCATTTGTCTTTTGTATTATTTGTACCATAGTTATTCATGTGAAATGTTCTTGGAAATTATTGAGAAATTATAAAATCTAAAATTAAGTTACCATTTAAGAGAGACACAAAACTAAAGTAAATGTTTGCGCCTTTCTCCTCTATACATACACTGCTCTACATGCATGCAACGTCGCACATGCTGTGATATCACTGCTGTCTCATCCCATACCACCAAAAGGTTCAGCTCTTACATGGACTCCAGCTGCATTTATCTCCAATTTCCTTCCATCTGGTTTGAGTTCCACTCAAAGCCAGTCATGATAAAAAACGGCTTTACTCTGCAAAACGCAATAGAGTGATACAGGACATGGTTAAAATTCAAGGAGAACAGTGTCAGTGATGACTCTAAGGTGTGTGTGTGTTGGGCAGAGTCATTGCCCATCAGCAGTAATGAGTTTTTGTATTTGTCTGGACCTTCATGATGGCAGTGAGCGGAGCTATTGTTATACCAGCTCCTGCAGACACTCATGTCGGTTTTTAGGAGGTTCTGACATATGGTTAACATACTGTATTGTTAGGGGCAGTTTGATCCTGAAATACACTAAAGAAATTCAGCCACTGTCTGAGAATGTTAGATTGGAAAGATTAAGACGTTATAAAAATGCGTTCACCAAAAATGTAATATTTATTTGGTTCCCATCTGACGAATGAATCCCACACTGACATATGACATTTTACGTTATCTTTATTATAAACAGTCCAAACATACTCTTCACTTTCTGCTCCAAAATTATGAAATACAGTGTCTTAGGAACTTGAAAATATACATTTATTGATCATGGTCATTTACTGATTTACATAATATGACATATATGGGGTCCAGCTGATGTATCATGGTTAAAATTTAATTGTATTTACCTGATAATATCATTGGCTCATGTTGTAATTGGCAGCCAGCCCAGAGTGCACAGACGTACAGATGAATACTTGTATGACAAACACTCAGTCCTTTGATGTTCACACACAAACATGATGGTAGCCAGATAATATCATTAGTCATGCCACCATCATATATGTTACACTTCTTAATCACACATGCCTTTGATATAGGATTCAGGAGACACTCATTACTACAAGATTACCAGAGCTTGATAAATCCCTCCGCTTTATGATTCTCTTGTCAACGCACCATGTCAGATTGAGGCTAGACAGCCCCGGGAACATTACCTAGAGAGCCAGAGGCTCAATATAAAGAGATACAGACAGAAAGAGATCATGCATCAAATGATGATTCGTGAGCACATCAAAGCAAAGCATCTGTTTCATAACCTTGGAGAGCACTGGAAAAGAAGGATTTCAGGCTCCTATACAACAGACGCACTGTCAGGCACAACAGGTGGGCTATAAGTATCCTCCACAGGTTGTATGGCCCTCCTCAGCGAGGGTCCCACCTACAGTACGGGCAACATCTGAGACAGAGGAAACAGTATATCTGTAGCTGACAACAGCAGAGAGGATGGATATGTACCATGTCAACAGATACAAATTACAGAGGATATGACAGGGCAAGACATGATCATTTTTAATTTTTTCTTTTTTGTCCATGAGGAAGTGAAACTTGGTGCCAGAGGAGCCAGAACTGAAATGATGTGAACAAGATGTCAATGTGAAATATTACTGAGGCATCACTTAAGTGTGGCATAAGCTTTTATGCAACTAGAGGCATGTAAATGGAAAACAGGAAGGGGTCTAAAATGGAACCTTGAGGAACTCCACAAGTAATTTATGTTAAAGCAGCTGTGCGGAACTTTTTACCATTAATAAAACTGCCCCTAGTTCGTATCACCCCCCCCCCCCCCCCCCCCCCCCCCCCCCCCCCCCCCCCCCCCCCCCCCCCCCCCCCCCCCCATGTGACCATGAACACAAATATACAGCAGGCAGTTGTCCTCAGTTTATAAGAAATTCAGAGCTACACCAGAACATTTATGAACAGGTCTTACTTTACTACTAATTTGTGTGTAACGTTAGCATGTTAGCATGTTTCCACTAATTACTTGGACTGACCTAACGTTAGTAGCGTTAGCTTTGCAAGCGAAGGCTGCAGGTAACAGCTTTGCTGTGTTAGGATTATGTTATGTCTTCACTGTGTATCTTCACATAAAATAATACTCCGACCATATGGGAGTTATGCCCTTTCGCTATCATTTTTATACTGAGACAACATGATCGATATCTTTTTTGTGTCTGTACGTCCAGTGGCTGGGTCTGAGCGGTTAGCATTGCGCTTATAGGGGGTCAGTACGTCCTGCGAAGTGATCCGCGGAGGGATACACCGGTGAGCAGGCACAGACGTAGCTTGTAAACAAAACCCAGCTGTTTATTTAGCCTAGCGATATCTCCGGATTTTAGGAGCTGCAATGGACGACTTTGAACGCGATTTTGAAGAGTTTCTTGTAGCGGACACAGAACCAGAGCCATACCTGTTTGAGCCGGAGTACACAGATGAGGAACTCCATGTGTTGCATGCTGAGCAGGCGAGAAGAGAGGCTGAATCCTCCGCTACCTCGGTGCTACCATTGTTGGGGAGATATATCATCAGGAGGAAAACCGCCGCAGAGAGTGCATCACAAGGAAAAACTTTGCAGCAATCACTAATCCTGGCGTGGTTGAAACTTTTTTTCATGTTACTAAGATGAACTGGAAAAAACGCCCCAGGCCTGCAGGAGCTGATGGACAGCTTTCAGTCGGGTGAGTAACGTCGTCCATGTCGTCTCTTTGTTCGCTTTTACCGAGTGACCTAGCGTACCTGTCCCAGAGCCAGCTGCAGCTGTTGCTCACCGGTGTATCCCTCCGCGCAAGATGTACTGACCCCCTACAAGTGCCATGCTAACCGCTGTCTCAATATGAAAATGATAGAGAAAGGGCATAACTCCCAAATCGTCAGAGTATTCTTATCACATAACAATGCGGACTCAGCAGATGACTTGTTAACTGTTTATTCCTCCTAACACCGAACGTACACGGCTGCTTCTCATTGTTTCCAGTAGCACAACAACGGTTACTACATTACCCAGAATAAGTTGAGGCTCACACTACTACGGTAGCTTTAGTAGCTCAAAATACACAACAGCTTACATTAGATCAGAATAGAAACACGACAGGAGAATTTACTGAGTAATTTTGCTGTTTCCACTAATTACTTGGACTGACCTGACGTTAGTTAATCCTCTCGCTCTCCAAAACAAATGCATGCTGCAGTCGGAATTTTACGACACCAGGCTGTGGGTGTCATACCGCTCCGACCAAAGGGGCGCTATAATCAACGAAAACGAAAAGTTCCGCACAGCTGCTTTAAGGAAGGAGAGGAGTTTCCTATTAACTCATGTATTTGTTTTATAATTCTAATCTGCCAAGTAACAACTATCTATAATTCATGTAGAGAATTAAAATCTATAGTACAATAGTTAAAATATATAGTAGTACAAAAGTAAAACAAATTTTATGAAATCAAAGTTTACTTGAGTAAATGTACCTTGTTACTTTACACCACTGACTGAATGTCTATAAGATCTAAAGCTTGGAGTGCTGTTTTTTTTTTGTTTGTTTTGTTTTTTTAAAGTGGTAGTAAGTTATTTTAATGTTGGGGAATGGAGATACAACAAAAATAATAAATATATTCAAAAAAATTGAAAAAAAAATATGCCAACAAATTAATCAAATTACTATGACGTAAATACCGGTAAGCTATCAGTAATTCACATAACCTACTGTACAGGACAGCAACATGAATACATTGAAAAAACATGTAGAGTGCATGTATCCATGTACCCCATGTGTGAGTATTTATCTGTATATGCACACATGTAAATTAATGAAACAAAGAGTGGTTC